AAGACACTGGTGGGTTTCTGCCGGTTCTAACCGGTTCGGTAGAAGAGCTTCCACAAATCTACCATACCGGTCAGAAGAGGTTCCACTGGTAGACCCGGAGGTTGCCTGCTCACTTGCTCTCCAGCCTGTCCGCACTAAACTAGCCCAGCCAATCAGTGAGCAGGCTGGAGTCGACCCACCCGCTTCTAACTCCCACTTAAAAGCATGGCGCCAATGGTCAACATTCCTCTTTTGAAAAGAGTTTTTCTCTTTTGAAAAGAATCTTTCTCGTTCCCGAGCAGCTGTCACATCCCGCTTGATGATCAGGTCCTCCCTTCACTTCGTTTCACCTTCCAGCACTTGCTGCTTCCCTCAGGTAAGCAACTAAGCGCGAGGGGGGTTGGCGGGGGTGGGAGGCTAGGGTATGCCAGCCAGCGGCTTTTGTGAGGGAAGGTCTTCAGGCCGCGGGCTGGAATACGCCACGTGGCCGAAAGGGGCGCAGCTGTGGGGGCAGGCACAGTGGTGGGACGCTAGCGTAGGCCAGCCTGCGGCTTTCATGTCGGAAGGCCTTCAGACCTTCCCTTACGAAAGCCACAGGCTGGCATACACTCTGTGGCTAAAAGGGGATGGGCGGCGGCGGGAGGCAGGGGCTGTCAGGCTGGAAGCCAAGCCCTATTAGCTCCCAAAACTGCTTCTGAACATCTATTGCAGTCGCATGGAGCGTGTGGAGAAGAGCGCGAAGTCCAGTGGAGGCAGGAAGGTCTTGGTGCTCCCCAGGCTTCCCAGAGTGCTGAGAATCTTTCTGCCTCCGCTGGACTTCGCGCTCTTCTCCACACTTCCCGGTGAGTGAGCGAGCGAGGGAGGATCAGGCTGCCTGATCCTCCATTGCTCGCTTGCTCGCTCTTTTGCCCACCCGGACCGCCTCAGCGCCGCTCTGGCTACCTTCGTCCATCCCCACACCTGGCAGCTGCGGTAACATCATCAAAAGCGAGAGGGAATCGAAAATGCCTGGGGGTAGGTGCGGCTTTTCCTTCTGGCTCGCTTGGTCGCAGCCTCCTGGAAGTGACCGTGGGCTGCGTGGATGTGTGAATAACGAGGCTCAAGCTGAAAGAGTCGATTTCCTTTCTTTAGGACACCCCATTGGCGTTGCTTGATGGAAGCCCCTTGAGGGCTGAGAAGAAAAGATGAACAGCAACTAAGAAGCCTTTTCTTTTATATTCCTTCTCCATTTCTCAGTTCTGGTGGCTGCGCCTTCTCGCTGCCTTCATTAACTCCACTTTTTCTTGTTTACCTGCGTATGAGACTTCTTTCATCAGGCTCCACAATTAGTGTGTTCACTCTTAAGCAACGTGGAAATGACCTTGGCTTTGGCTCTTTCAAATTAGATGTATACTTTCTCTTGAGAGCAAACACAACCATTTCATTTTTAATAGATACCAGCCAATGTGCTCACCGTAAAGACATGACAACAAAGGTTATCTTAACCTGGAGGCTTTTGTAAGAGTAGATTGAGGGNAAATTCCTTTGCTGCTTGGGAGAGATGTAGAGAAGCGTCTCATCTCAGCTTCTTATCTCAAAAAGCTTTCTCTTAATTGTTTGCTGATATTTTACATTGATCTGGTCAACGTTGGGAAATCAGCACCTCCCTCACCAACCCCCTTGCAGGGGTGCTGGTGATTTATTTTAAAAGGAGATTTGGGATAATGTCAGCATTCCAAATATCATGCAAAATTAAATCAGAGTCCAAGGCAGAGCTATCCTTAAAGTTCCGATTTAATAAGACAGACTGCAACAAACTATGGAATCCCTAATCTAAAAGCTTCCTGGAATTCCACCCAGTTGGAAGTTCATGATCTTATCCCCACACCCATAAATTCATGACATGGTCCAATCTTCTTCGGCCATGCTGGCATTTCCACCCATCTAGTTCCGGTCAGATGCAGAGGTGCGGGGACAAAAGATGACCTTGATTTCTAGAAAGGAATGAAAACAACACATTCTACAATTCTACTCCTTACTATTCCTCTTCCCAATTACTACACAGCATAATGAAATAAGAGAGAGTGTGGCAGGCCAAATATCCTAAAAGGAATATAACTGCAGGCCTGACACCAAACTGCATGCCTCTCCCAGCCACTTTCGCGGCTTCGCGGAGCACAGAGAACCTTCCTGGCTCCCCTGGACTTTGCGCTCTTCTCCACATTCTCCTCGGCTCCTCCTCCATCACTTGCTCGTTCACTTGCTCGCTCTTTCGCCCGCTGCTCTGGCTACCTCCGTCCATGCCCGGCAGGTGCAGCAACATCATCAAGATGAAGAGTGAGAGGGAAGAGCTGGCATGGAGAGGGCCCTGCTGCCACTTAGGCAGGGCACTGAGGCCACTCACCCCCAAGCCACTTCGTCTTGATGTCGGCGCCGCAGCTCTGGCTACAGCTGTCCAGCCACACCAGCAGCTGCAGTGACATCATCAAGGGCGAGAGGGAAGAGCCCAGCTGGGAGAGAGCCCTGCCGCCACTTAGGCAGAGCACCAAGGCCCCTTCGCCTCCAAGCCACTTCGTCTTGATGATGTCGCTGCAGCTGCCAGGTGTGGACGGACGGAGGTAGCCAGAGCGGTGCCGAGGTGGTCTGGGTGGGTGTAAGACCGAGCGAGCAATGGAGGATCAGGCAGCATGATCCTCGCTCACCTGCCGGGCTGCCTCGGTACCACTCCAGCTACCTCCGTCTGGCCATGCCCGGCAGCTGCAGCGACATCATCAAGATGAAGAGCGAGAGGGAAGAGGCTGACCGGGAGAGGGCCCTGCCACTGCTTTGTCTGAGTGAGGCGAAGGGGCCTCGGTGCCCTGCCTCCTGCGGGCTCACACCAGCCAGAGCTGAAAGGTTTTCCTTGGGGCAGCAGGTGCAAAAACCTCGGGGGGAATTGGGGGTGTGTGGGAGTCTAGGGTGCCTGGGGATAGGTGCGGCTTTTCCTTTTGGCTCGCTTGGGCGCAGCCTACTGGAAGTGACCGTGGGCTGCGTGGATGTGTGAATGATGAGGGTCAGGCCAAAAGAGTCGATTTCCTATCTTTAGGGCAACCCCTTGGCGTTGTTTGATGGAAGCCTCTTAAGGGCTGAGAAGAAAAGATGAACGGCAACTAAGAAGCCTTTTCTTTTGTTTATATCCCTCCTACCTTCACCGTTTCTCAGTTCTGGTGGCTGCGCCTTCTCGCTGCCTTCATTAACTCCACTCCTTCTTGTTTACCTGAGTGCGTGGCTTCTTTCATTAGGTTCCACAATTAGTGTGTTCACTCTTAAGCAACATGGAAATAACCTTGGCTTTGGCTCTTTCAAAGTAGATGTATACTTTCTCTTGAGAGCAAACAACACCATTTCAATTTTAATAGATGCCAGCCAGTGTGCTCACTGTAAAGACATGACAAGAAAGGTTATCTTAACCTGGAGGCTTTTGTAGGAGTAGATTGAGGGGATAGCAGAGGAGTTATCCCTCCTAATCCCTCCCCTCTCGAAACATTCTCAGTTAATGTGGCTACCTCTAGAGCAGTTTTTCTTAACCTTGGCAACTTTAAGATGTATAGACTTCAACTCCCAGAATTCCCCAACCAGCCATGCTAGTTGAGGAATTCTGGGAGTTGAAGTCCACAAGTCTTAAAGCTGTCAAGTTTGAACACCCCTGGTTTTTTTTCCTAAAGGATTAGGGGTGCAAGGGTCTTTTAACTTGGCAGCTTTAAGACTTGCGTGCTTCAAATGCCAGAGTTTTTGATCCAACATTTTGGTTGCTAAGCAAGAGCCTTGTTAAGTGAGTTTCACCACATTTTTCAAGTTGGCCACGCCCACCCAGTCACATGACTGCCAAGCCATTCCCACCTGGTCAGTTCAAGCCACTCCCACCCAATCACATGACCGCCAAGCCACTCCCACAAAACAGGCCACACCCACAGAAGAGGTTCTAAAAATTTTTGAAACCCACCACTGTGAGCACCCCACAGGTCGGATGTGACCTTGAATTTGACACCTCTGACTTAGACTTATAGGCTGCTTCACAGTGCTTTACAGCCCTCTGTATGATCCCATGAGGGATTGCAATTTGGGTGCTCAGAAAATGGCAGCCACTTCTGGGATTATACCACACAGTCCAACAAGTGAATAGCCTGTTTTTCCCTAACCTAGGCTCTGAAAATCTTTGAAAGGTTGTTGCATGATACAGGGTGAGGAAAAGAGTGTGGGGCTTAGTGTGGTGGAAAGCCAACCCAATGCCTGCAGGGACCTGATAAAGACATCAGGGGGGCACTCCTATAGTCAGATGTAAAGAAAAATGACCATCACTGTAGACACTACAGTAGTGATTTTGTGATCAGTTGTAAGTAGTTTTTAGTGGGTCCACTGTAATTTTGAATGGTTGCTAAGCAATCAGTTATTAGTTAAGGACTTATCTGTATTATTTCTTGCTCATAAAAAAAGTAAATGGCATTTATTGATTACATATTAAGCATATTACTAAGAGTTACTTCTCTTTAGATTTTGATCTTAAAATGATACGGCTTCTTTTCAAGATTTTTTTAAAATTTCTGTATGATAGATTATTTCACATTATTTTGTGAAGATTATATTGGTAATTCAGTTTAAATCTTATATCAATAATTATTTCATACACTTGGCTTATTGACCCAAAATAAATACTTTAAAATTTAAGAGAATATAAATGTTACTGTGTAAAAGCTTAAAAATTTGAGGATTTTTTTAAAGGGTAGGAACAAAATTCAGAACATTATTTAACTAAAATAACTGAAATGCAGGGGATAATTCTGTTAAATTGCATGGTATACAAAATGTTTAGATTGTTTAGAAAACAAATTTTACAAAATGATTGTGTGGTTCTTAAAATGTGTACTTCAATTTGAAAATAAAGTATGAAATACTATTTATGACTACGAACAACCTCAGGAAATTGTTGAAAAATTGTTGACAAGCTATAGATACATATATATCATGAAATAATAACTTGATACTTTTTCTTTGTTTCAGATTTAGGTTCTTGGATTTAAAGCAATACTGTGAGAAACTATCTAAGTTTGTATATAAGCATGGGGACCCCTGGCTCAGGAAGGAAAAGAACTCCGATGAAGGACAGATTTTCTGCAGAAGATGAAGCCCTAGGTCATATTGCTAGAGAGGTTGGTAAATTTGTTCAAACATAAGTGACAGGTATAACCTGGGAATCAGTATGTTATTGCAGCATAGGTAATTATACTTACTCGAACAATTATTAAGTTGGAACTTATTCAGAAAACATACTGTTTTATCAGCATGCTTAGTAATTCAAGCATAGAGATTCTTGCTCTCCTAATAATATCACTGCAGACCGCCCATCTACTGCAGAGTTTCAAGTGGCTGTTGTATGAGTCATTTAGAAAATCTGCACAATGACATCTACTAGTTAGAGTTAAACAGAGAAAGAACTTATGGCTTTTTAGTGAAATTATTGGTCCTTGTATATATAGTTGAACAACCAAATATGAGACTAGTGTTTTGCAAAAAAATGTAAAACATTTATTTATTTGTTTGTTTTTTTGTTTTTATTTATTTATTATTTATTCAGTCAGTCAGTCAATCAATCAATCAATCAATCAATCAGTCGGCTTCCCATCTTTTACTGTAGAGTAATTCTGGGCGGCTTACAATTACATCTATACTAAAACATGAGAGATTAAGAACAAATGTTAAAACCAAAATTACATGGGGGAGGGAGGGAAGTGAGTGAGTGGGAGCTGGTTTCTGTTGTTACTCAATCAACCACCTCCATTGTGCTGTTCTTCCATTGGGTTCCAAGCCGACTTGCAAAATCTCATCTTTAGGCCCTTACAAAAAAAGAGGAGGGTTGGGGCCAACCTCACATTGGGCAAGATGTTCCAGAGGGCAGGAGCAAAAGTAGAGAAGGCCCTCCTCCTGGACCCCACCAGCTGGAATAATGGGGCTGACAGAACCCGCAGCATGGCTCTTCTGCTGGCATGAGTGGTATGGGCCAATCCCAGTGGGGTGAGATGGCCACTCAAGTAACTTGGATCCATGCCATAAAGAGCTTTAAAGGTGATCACCAGTGCTGTCAAGGTTTTAACTAGCAAACTCAACCAATTCAGTGCTATTGAGACGTCCAGCTTTCTCAAACACCTACTTTATCACCTGTATATCATTTTGGCATGGAAGAAAATGAAACCAGCTCTAAACATTTCCTGCAGTTTCAATATAATTAAAAAATAGATAATTCTCTCCCTCATGGTCACAGGTCACATTGTCCAATTAGATGTCATGACATCTCCTTGGCAACTCCCCATAGTGTCAGCACCTGTTGAGATGTCCTTGGTTCTCATGGGTTGATCTGTTATTATTGTCTGGTCTGAGATTCCAGATACTCCTCCCCCCTGGAAACAGAAAGATGGCTGTGGCAGGCCTGATCCATTTCATAGTTGACAAATACCTTGAATTGTACCCGGAAGCAGACTGCAGCTCACGGAGCAATGGTGTTACAGGAGCTATTCTTGTGGGGGCCAAAATTTTCCACACTGCTGCACTCTGCACCAGCTATAGCTTCTGGATACTTTTCAAGAGTAGCTCCATGTAGAGTGCATTACAGTAGTGCAGTCACAAGATGACTAGGGACTGAACAACTATGCAGAGGGAATCCTGATCCAGGAAGGGCCGCAACTGGTGCACAACACGGTTGTGCAAAGACTGTCCTAGTCGCTACTGCTACCTGTTCCTCAAACAGAAGTGAGTCCAGGAAAATTCCCAAGTTGTGGATTGGGTCTTTCTAGGGCAGTGCCGCCCCACCCAAATATGACAAGGTCTCAGATTCCCCAAACCATTTGGTATTACAAGAGTTCAGTCAAAGTTTATTGTCCCCCATCTAAGTCCTCACAACCTCTTGACACTGTGAAAGGGAAGCCACAGCATCACTTGGGTCACCAAGAGTGAAACTATAGAATTAACTTATTTTTCAGAGTATAAGATGCACCTCCCCCCCCAAAAAAGAGGGTGAAAATTTGTGTGCGTCTTATACACCAAATCTACCCCCACCCTACCAGAGGCCAAAAACATGAGGCATGGAGGCAGCAATGGTCTGTGGCAATCCCTGTAGCCTGGAACAGCTGATTGGAGGTATTCTGGTAGTCAGTTGTGCTGAATCAGACTGCAATAAATGCTGAAGCTGACCTGGTTGGTCAGAGTTTGCAGCAGCAATCACATTCAGAAAGCACACAGAAATAAGCAGGATTCAAAATAATAATAATATACAATACAATACAAAAAGCAGGTTTTCTGTGGTAGCAATAAATACAAGCAAAACACAAGGAGTTTCACTTTCAGTTCTCAGCTAAGCAAGGCTGTCTCATTGTTGCTCACATGGCAAATACTGTTTCAGAGTCCAAATAGCCCTCATTGGCTGACTTAGTTGCCTATTCATTGGCTGGCCTTGTTAACATGTGTCCCAAGTCAGGAAGCAAATACAATGGATGCTGGTAGGCAGAGGCAGGATTTTTCTTATTATTATTTTCCTCCCCAAAAACTAAGGTATGACTTATACTCCAGAGCGTCTTCCACTCCAAAAAATACGGTAGGTGTCATCAGCATACAATAAAATGTCAATAGAGTAGAATAGAATAGAATAGAATAGAATAGAATAGGCAGGAAATCTTATATCACTTCAGACAAATGGTTGTCCAGTCTCTTCTTTAAAACTTCCAATGTTGGAGAATTCACAGCTTCTGGAGGCAAGTTGTACCACTGTTTAATTGTTCTAACTGTCAGGAAATTTCTTCTTAGTTCTATGTTGCTTCTGTCCTTGATGAGTTCCTATCCATTGCTTCTTGTCCTGCCCTCACTTGCTTTGGTGAATAGATTGACTCCCTCTTCTTTGTGGCAACCCCTGAGATATCAGAACACTGTTGTCATGTCACACCTAGTCCTTCTTTTCATTAAACTAGACTAGTGGTAGTCAACCTTTTTCTACCTACCGCCCACTAATGGATCTTTCTTGATGGAAAAATTTCCTTACCGCCCACCAGTTTTTGTGCAAGTGTGTAATATTTTTTAGAAAGGAGGGTGTTTTTTTAAAAAAGAAATGTACGTACATTTATTTTTTTATTTCTACTTTATTCATGTTTATAATGTTTTTAACTTTATAAAGTTTAATTAGAAAATAATAAAGTAAATTGAAATTAGCTTTACTAGTGATTAATGAAATCTTTGAGGCTGATGCTGCGAGACTAAATATTTGATATCTGGTTCGATTTTCGTAAGGAACAAACGAAGGTCTCCTCTTTTGATGATATTCAGACGGTTTCTCTGTTTGCTCATAATATGATTAACAGCACTAAAGCCTGATTCTACAAGATATGTGGTAGGGAAAGGTATCAATAAATTGAACATCATTTTCCACATATTTGGACATAACGCAGGCTTTTTTTTATTTTGCTACAGTTTTTGGTATCCACCACTGCCAAAATTACATTTACTCTCTTCGTCATATTTATGTTCTAATAGTTCTTCTTGACAAGTTATATCAACCTCAGCAACATTTGATGTAAAACGATTTATCATCCAGTCATGCACCTTTAAGTTTAAAATATCTTGAAATCGTTTTTCTATATCCAATTTGAGTTCATTGAGGTGGCTACTGAACCTTTCAATATCCCCCGGAGTTACATCATTGTTTATAGAGGACAATTCAGGAAACTGATGAAATTCTCTCTTTAAAATATTATGACGGAGAAGATCAAGCTTTTC